CTTAGAAATCAGATAACTGCTGGACAATAACCAATAATAATGATTTGTTTATATACTACAAACATCACATAATAAGGCAGAATAGTTTCAATACTGTAATAAATGCTATGTCAGTTAGCACTGCATTATTCATATACTTTATTTATTACCTGGAGAAGACTTGACAAACACAAATAAACCATATATTGTCGCAATCGTATGTTTAATGTCTTCATGTTTCCAAACGTTTCTGTTTTTCTGAAAACAACTGTTTTCATACAGCGATAGCTGGACGCTTTTGTCCATATTAGGAATTTCCTCATACGACTTTCTGCGCGAGCGCGCCCTCCGGCTTCGAGTGTTTAGCGCTCCGTGATGTTCATCTCGCCTTATTCTGGGTCCGAATAAAACATCAGATCATGCACAGACTATCCTGTCTCTTTGAATTTAAATCTGTATTTATTCACACCGGCTCTTGAAAACATTTATGCGAACACACTTGCCCGAAAAAGTGCGGGGGACAAATTTACGGTCATATCAAAAGTGGGGGGGGGACACGTCCCCTGCATAATCTACGCCCCTGCTTTAGTTGTCCTCAGTGTAAAAAGATGGATCTCAAAATCGTACAGTCACTGTTGGAAAGAGTTCACATATGCAGAAGATGCTGGAAAACCAAAGAATGTGCAGGAGCTAGAAAAATTTTCTGAAGAACAGCAGGCAGTTGAACTGCTCAGGACAAACAAGGGACTCATGAACAACTATCACAAAACATAAAAACAGTAGCACAACTGTTTTCAACTTTGATATTAATCAGAAATGTCTCTTGAGCAGCAAATCAGGATATTAGAATGATTTCTGAAAAACAGTCCACATTCTGCACTACATTCCAAGTCTTCTAGAGCAGAGCACAGCATTATGTCATATGGACTGATATTGTGGTAGGCATTTAACTGTAGGCAGCACACAAATTAATGGTACAAATTATTGTTAATTAAATACAATAAATATATATTCAAAAAAATGTTTACATACATTTTTAAATACATTTAAAATATTGAAATGAGAACACAAAAGCCACGCCATACAAATAGCTTTTAATTGGTTTATTTCGTTAGCAAAAACATGTAAGTATATTGTTAAGTTCTTTCCATTAATATTTTTTTTACTTTCACATTTAAGATATATCGTAAGGTTACACCCTTTTTGTGGTAAGTCTGCACAAGATCAGAACGCTTGTTTGGTATGTTTGCGGCCCCTTTAAATAAAGACCGATCGTGGAGCGTCTACAGGGCAGCCAGAGCGAATTTTGACGCTCTCGCCGCCG